CAAATAGCAGATGGTTGTTTAATATGGGAGGGGTGGTCTAGTACTGCATTAGCCGAAAGACATGAAACATCAAATAGTTTGCAGATTAACTTGGAGCCAGAGGGTTAGTTTGTTATAATGAAGGTTAACGCAGGTTGGTGTTTAGTTTTAGTTCGTCTCATATCATAAGTAAAGGACATATTGAATGCAGGAATTTAAGATATTGATTGAATGAATAGAATGCTCTAGATAAGGCAACACTTTAACAATGTCTCTCTCAGGGCTTGGGATTTTTCTGATGCATATCTATTTATGTTATAATCCTGGGTTAACTTTTGTTAGCCTTAGGGTGCAACATATAAGCTGTTTTACATTTCTAAATGAAGCTCTTATGTAATATCTGCTGGGTCTGTCGATGCACTGTATAAGCCTCCTAAGTAGCCTTTCACATATTTCACAATTGCCTATGCTAGCATGTTGTCGGTATTGATAACTATGCTAACTAGACTGTCACCTTTAGGTTTAATTGCATGTAATCTTGAACTTTATCTCTATTTCTGAATTTTTTAAATTGCTTACGTGCTCCCACAGGATCGTCAATGATGGGTTGTGACTTGTGAGCCATTTTCCAGGACCTATAGATGGATTACAATGGTCCATTTTCAGAGATTCTGTTGAGCTATTGCCTTAATGGAGATGATTTTTGCTTGATGTGTGGAGCTCTAGAAATAAATGTGAAATTTTGTAGTTTTAGGTCTCTTAATTTTTTTGTTTTGTTTTGTTTTATTATTTTCTAAGTTTGTAAATGGAAAGAAACCTTACATGGTCATGTCCGGGAAAAGTGACATGAGCACTACTAGGAGCGAGTGCGCTTGAACACTCTCTTACATTATGACACGTTATTTTACTAATAGAGATATTGGATACCCCGTTAACTAGGGCTGGGCGCGCACGCGAGTGACAACCACACCAAGGTGCGAGCACAAACGGGCTTCGGGCCCAAGGAATAGTTGAGGCCCGAAACCGTTTATAATAGGTGTGATGTTTGGTTTCAAGCCCAAGAATCGAATAACAAAATAATACACTTGAAAACTCGCATTATGTTTTAAGAAAGGAAAATGATGTATACATCCGCCGGTTCAACACACGACGGTGCACACTCCATAAAATATATTTCCCTAAATCCTTAACTCTGCAGCCATTCACGGACTTTTGGCCTATTTGTGCATCCAAACACAAGGCAACCCTGATTTTTTCCTCTCTTTTCTCATAAACCAAACAGTAAAACCATCACAAGAAATTCTAGCAATTAAAAAAGAATCATTAAAAGATAAATTAGGCAATATCATAATTCTACAATTAAAATCAGTTCACATTTATTTCTTTTATTTTCTCAAAAATCAAACAGCTAACACCACAAGATAATTCTAATTGATCATTTTGAAACAAACCCATATTTCAATTACCTGCAAATGAAATGAATTAATGAAAATTTTCTACAATCTTATGAATTTCATTACAAAAATCAAATCACAATTAAATTTAGAAAAAACAAATCTCAATTTTCTACCACTGCCTCTGCTTATCTTCATGTTCTGTTGCCCCAATCGTGGGTTGCAACAACAATGCCGTAACTGGGTTCTCCACCGCAGATTTCCGAGCCGGTGACGCCGCCTATGCCTGCTTCAGCTTGACCAACAACTCCACCACCACCCTGTCGTTCGTCATCGCCGCCATCACCCACTCGTCCTTCACCGCCATCATCATACCCACAAAAACCCAGTCCAGAAAACCCAAAAAATCTAAAAAACAGAGAATCACTCAGGTGGCGTAGCTTAAAGTGAGAGAACCTAGATCGAATTCTTACTAAGAGAACCTGTGGGTTCTTCTTCAGAACCCAATCTGGGTTATTGGTAAGAACCTGATTTGGGTTCTTATGGAGACACCAAATCTAGGTTCTCCAAGAGAACGTGGG